CTGGACCAGTACTTGTCTTCAAGTATGGTTACATTAGATTCTGAGCCATGTTTTCTGGTCTTAACTGTCAATAACACATTCTTTGGTGCCTTTCCTTCCTCAAGAATTCTAACTATAAGATTACTTTCTGCAACACAGAGACAGTAGTCTCTGAACATCACCAAGTGACTTTAAACATTGGTGATGCCTAACAGAGGTTTTCGTTTGCAGCAAAGCTTAAAAACCATGAAACAATCAAGGATAGCAGCTTCGGTAACTTAAGTAATGCCTTGTGATGTGGCATATAGCATGCCACATCACAAGGAAGAACTAGGGGCATGGATGGGGATTGAACCCATTCTACTTGGTATAAGACACCAACGCCTTACCACTTGGCTACCACACCTGGATCAAGCACGTTGTTGTTTACTCCAACTTTGACCCCATTACCTGGTTGCTGCAGCAGAAATTAATATACATTAGAACAGCAAACAAACATCCTGCCTTGGAAATCACTTTTCCATGTTTTTGGATATTCTACTATTTTGCCTGAGTGGTGGAACTTCAAGTTCTTCTCCTGCTTATTCCATCTGGTTCTAGCTTTACTACATTTTCCATGCAGAGACAATCTTCTGCACACCTTGGTTGCAATGATTTTGGAAATTCTGATGTCAAAGACAAAAACTGTTTACTTTGCTGATACCACAATGCTCCATTCAAGAAGACTAGAAGGTCAGATTAGGTTGTAGAGGACATCATAGGATATATCATTACTACCAGTGAAACTTCAGCATCCATGTGTCAATAACATGGATTACACTACTTACAGAAGCTGGAGTTTTCTAAGGCAAAATAGAGTCCTAGATGATTGCACATGGACATTACGATCAAAACTTCTGCTGTGACCTTTTCTTCCCAGTGTCTTGAATAACAATTCAAGACACTGAACATGGAAGACCTCCTTTATAGGAAGGCATGGATGGGGATTGAACCCATGATTTTTGGTTTACGAGACCAACGCCTTACCACTTGGCCACCATGCCCCTGTCATCACACTCTTTTGTCATACTTAAGGGTGTTGTCAGACATGGTCCATGTTTATTGTAGACAGTTGACAGGATTTTGTCTTAGTGTGGTCACATATATAACAGATCACATCCAAAAACATAGAATAAAGCACATCATCATGCAGAATACAAGAATACAACTAACATATTAAGAAAATAGAAATACTGCAATATATCAGGGTACAGAATCTGTACCTGATTATTACCCAACTGAGCATTTCACTTGTTGAAGACTAAACTTTGGACAGAAAGGCCCACAAACAAACAGCAACTGAAAGCTGCTGCAGTAAAGGTCTGGCAGAGCATTAAAAAGTTGAAAAAGCAACTTCTTGCGATGTCAATAATTTCAAGACTTGCCAGCAAAGGGTTTTCACCCAATAATTAGAAATGAACATTGTATTTTCACTTATTTAATTTCTCCATTTACTTCTGAGCCCCTGAAATGAAGGGATTGTGTTGAAAATACTTTACTGCCTCATATTTTCATGCAATCCTTTGTTCAACCCTTTGAATTCAAGGTGAAAGTCTCCACTTCAACTGGATCTGAGTGGTTTCATTTAAAATTGAATGTAGTAATATATAGAACCAAAATTAGCAAAGAAAGTTGTCTTTGCATTTATTTGCTGATGAGGCACTGCCATGTCTTTCTTTCAGCTAAAAGTTTGCTCTCTACGGCTCCGCCTCCACAGACCCCTAACCTTACCTCTACTACAGCTGCCAATCAACCGTCTTCACCTGGTGGTGCAACAGGTGCTTTTCAGGTCAATCCTCTTCCTTCTTCCTCCTCCTCACATGAGCGGAGAGACAAACACAGCAGGAGGAGGAGAGGAGAGAGGAAAGGTGAGAGTAGAGTGAAAGACAAAGTCAAATAAAATGAGATAGGAAAAATATAAATAAAATTACTGACTCTCTTTGTCTACTCAGCTCGTTCAACCTCGGACCTTCTTTCCCTGGGGATGGAGTCACAGGTTGACGTGTCACGACTTGACCTGAGGGTGGGACGAATCCTCAGCGCCCGCGTCCACCCGCTGGCCGAAGCCATGATTGTGCAGGAGGTGGACATGGGAGAAAACAGCTCCCGGACGGTGGTTAGTAAGGTGGGACAGGAAGCAAAACCTGAGGAGGTAATGTGACTTTATACTGAAAACTATCATCAACTTTGTTATTGCTTTAAATAGGCTATATACTGTATACTAAATGAAAATACAATATTAATAAAAAATATTATTGTTATTATTTTACATTTACATTTTTTGTCAGAGTACTGACATTTTTTTCCAGTAAGTATATTGATGACATTTTAATTTTTTAAATTAATATTGTTTTGTTTTTTAAATATTATTACTTAATAAAAAACTATAAATTTATAATTTGCCCTTAACATATACTGCTTAGCATTTTGAGTATTTTTTTACTTTTCTACTAAATAACTTCTATTTAATGCTTACAAAACAAAATAGTTTCTTTCTCTCTGTAGCTTCAGGGCTCTTTAGCTGTGTTGCTATGCAACGTCAAGGCCTGTAAGCTGAAGGGCGTGGTCTCCCAGGCCCGCCTCCTCTGCTGCTGCACCTCGGATGACTGTGTTGAACTGTTAGTCCCACCCACAGGCTCCACCCCAGGAGACAGGGTCACTTTTCTCAACTACCCTGGTAACAATGTACCATTAAAATATATGAACACAGTGACTGAGTTAAGCAGAGTTTTAAAAGCAGTTTATAGAAGCGATTGTAACTCAGATTAAACAGACACAGGGCAATCGTGGCTCGAGAGTTGGCAGTTCATCTTGTAATCAGAAGGTTGCCAGTTTGAGTCCCAGCTTGGACAGTCTCGGTCTTTGTGTCCTTGGGCAAGACACTTCGCCTACCGCCTACTGGTGTTGGCCAGAGGGGCAGATGGTGCGATATGGCAGCCTCGCTTCTGTCAGTCTGCCCCAAGGCAGCTGTGGCTACAACTATAGCTGCCTCCACCAGTGTGTGAATGTGAAAGTGAATGAATAATGGAATTGTACAGTGCTTTGAGGTTCTCGAAAAGCGCTATATAAATGCAGTCCATTATTATTATTTATTTCTCTGCCAACAGTTTTTAAAAGCTTAAACTGACTAAAGATTCTGATACCATCTTCTCAAGCATGAGTATAAAGAAGAAAATGCTGCTGAAATTGATCAATTTGTTTTTAAATTAGACCATAATGTCTTTTGCGGGTAAATCAGCAGGTACTTTCTGTAAATAGTGCAGGGGTCTCAAACTCCAGTCCTCGAGGGCCGTTGTCCTGCAACTTTTCCATGTGCCCCTGCTGCAACACACTTGCATGCTGAGGTGGCAGTTCAGCCATTTGATTCTAGTTACAGCAGCTCATGAGTGAATAAACACGGTGCAATAAAAGTACTTTTAGTCGTACATTTTTCCAAACACTTACATTTATTTAAATTTAATTGAGTAGGGTTAGGGGTTGCCACTTCAGCATGCAGTCAAGTTCTATACTCTTGCTAATGACCAACTCATTTTACTCAGGTATGTTGCAACAGGGACACATGGAAAAGTTGCAGGGCACCGGCCGTCGAGGACGAGTTGGAGACCCCAGATATACTGGTTTCTTACAACAAGCCTCATTTGCACATACATTCATGTAAATAAATTTTTTCTCCCTAACCCAACATTCAAACGCTGGTGGACATATGAGGGTTCAGTATAATGTTAAGAATACTTTGATATCTAGAACAGGAGCCAGGGATCTAACCACCGACCTTCTGATTAGCAAGTGACTTGCATCATATCATTTTAAAAGGTTATTGTCTAAAAATGTTAAAAATAAAGTAAACATCAATGTCCACAACTTTCTATACTTTTCTGACCCAAAGAAGCAAAGCAATAACAAGTATGACTGAAAAAATCACTGGAAGCTGCCACTCAGCAAAGAATTCGACCAATCATTCGAAAGTGGGCTTAAGTAGGTTGTGTCAGACAGAGGATCCATCCATTCAACCATTCGCTTCCACTTATCCTTATAGAGATTTATAGTAATGTATCTGGAGAGCTAGAAATAATTAGAATATTTACTCTTCCAAAATTGATTGACATGATGTTTTTCACTTTATTCCTTATGTGAATTAAAAGAAATCAAATCATTTGACTCTTCGTGAATGACTGAAGACATAAAAGATGTACTTTAATTCATCTTGATGCAAATTTCTAATATATGTTATAAACCAAAGAATATAGACACAGATTTAATTTTTTGGGCTCTGGTGTAACAACGACACAGATTTGCATCTTACTACTAAACATTAACAAAGTAACGATCATTTTCAGGACTGGAAGAAATCCAATCATGTCGTTGTCAGTTAAAACCTTGATAGTTAGTTGCAAGAAGCCATAGTTTGTTGTGCCTGTGAATAAAATACATTTGTTTAATTAAAAAGTAGGAGATAAAGTCCTTGTTTTGTATCTGCACCACAAAAACATTTGGGTTTTTTCACTTTCCTTCACTGTCTCTCTCTTCCCGTGTTCAGGTGAGCCGGACAGGGAGCTGCAGTCCAAGGAGAAAGTTTGGGAGCTTGTCCAGCCGGACCTGCAGGTCGATGGCAGGGGCGTGGCCAATTACAAAGGATGTAGCTTTGAGGTGAAGGGCAAGGGGCTGTGCCGGGCCCCCTCCCTCACCAACTGCATCATCAGATAGAAGTTTGTGTAACTGTGAAAATCCTGTGCAGCACTGCGGTACATGCTTACTGTGACTAAGCACGTGTTTGTTCAGGTGTTTGGTAAATGAAGAGTTTAACAAACTTGTCACTGTGTGGTGTCAGTGGTCTCTGTTCAAACACAAAGCAGTTAAAGCAATACCGAACACTTTAAGTGAATAATAAAGCAGCCATCAGAAAGAAATACAGGATCTCTTTCCACAAATAACTTTATGTGACTTCAGATTTAAAGATTAACAAAAGAAAGGCCCCACATGGTGTCAGACAGAGGTCCTGACGGTCAGAGCCCTGTGATGGTTCTTGGCTGAGAGGCAAAGAATTTGGTCTCTGAGTGGTCGCCCTCTGACTGACGACCAATCACTGGTGTTATCTAGGAACCAGACCCCGCCCCTTATTTCCCCAGCCAGATTTCTGAGCCAGCCAGTAAAGGGCTGGGCGAGGTAGGCTGAAGGCTGAAGCCTCGTCTCTCTCAGGTGGTCAGAATGCGTGAGGATAAGTATGCAATGCTGATGCCATTCTGGACCAAGGAGCTTCTGAAGGCCAAAATACAAACACAGAAAACAAACACAGTTAGCAGATGCAGACAATGCTGTTAAAAATAACACAAGATGACCATGAGCTCAGGGGCCTGATATCCGAGTCACAGAGCGCAGTACCTCTGCATGCTGCTGCAGGTGTTTGTCTTCGTGCGGGAGGTCGGCTCTCACAACGATGCCGAGCACATGCACGCCTTCAGGGCAGAGTTGGTGGATGCTCTGTGGGTCAGGCACTCCAGGAGGCGTGTCAATAATTCTCAGCATCATGTCAGTCTCCGCCCCCTGTCTTCTGAAAAAGCGTGGAAAAGTGCGCCAGAGGAGGCGACACTCAGTGGTCACACCTGAGATGCTTCTTCCTGTTTGGAATTCGTCTCCACCTGTCAGATGCAAAAATCTGTAGTAACTTTTTTCATCCTTAGCAAATCACGTTTAGTGATTTTACATGATTAAGTTTATTTATCATTGTGTATGCGCTATAAGGAGAAAGGTGATTCTAAATAGAGCTTGTCCATAATTTTACATTTCTTATGTTCATCATATTTCTTAAATGAACAAGAACCAACTTTCAGGGCTTAAAAAATTAAACCTGCAGTTTCTCTAATGTCCACTTGAGGCTGATTTCAAAAGAGTGTCAGTTTCCAAAGGCTCCCATGTTAAAATGTTAACTTTACAGCAGAAACAAATATGTTTACAGCCTGATACAAAGAACAATTTTGGTTTCTATTTTTCCTTTTTATACTATGTGTTTCAAGTTAAAGGCACTGGAGCTAGGGACATGGCCTCTATGCCTGCAAGGTTGACTCTGAAACAGGTGGCTAACTGAAGTGTCTGAACTGTGAAATGCTGTAGCTTTCTTGTGTGGCAAAGCCCATTCAAGGAGTTTGTGCTTCAGTTCTGGTATACCAGTCCGCACCAGCATTGCACCTGTACAGGACACTGGATCTAAACAAACAAGCATGGGTGTGGCCAAACTTCAAAATATGGAGTCCAGACTCAGTGGCAATTTGGGAAATGTTTCTATGGATACACCATCAAAAGAGACATAAAGCAAAATGTATTTAAAAGAAAGTTCTGTAGAAGGACTGACCAAGAAGAGCATTCCCCACAGAGCTCCTCCCACTCTGAGGGCCGCCTAGCAAAACCACGTTCAAGACCAGCACGTCCCTTTTGCCATCACCATGATGATGAACCCACCTGCTGAGGAAATCAAAGAGGTTGTTTCCAGGTTGACCGTGTTCAGCTTTGAGATCCATCTGAAAAAACAAAGTCTTCTGAATACACGTCTCACAGTGTTTAATCTAAAAGTCACACACTGTTTAACACTGATTATTCTTTATTTCTAAAGATGTTTCTCATTCAATGTTAAAGGCAGGGCGAGAGCTTTGTTATACAACACAAACAAATAAAATACATTTAAAAAAGAGATTTTATGTAAAACTTTTATTCCTATTTAATCTCATTATAATAGGCTGGATGGTTTCTTGATAAAACAATAACAACACATACATTAAGTTTATAGGTACATAAATATTTCTGGCTTTCTTCGAGCTTTGCACCTGTCAGTACTCAGCTAAGGTCAGGACTGAATACTACGTAGTATCCCAGACCCATCCAGATTGCATCCAACAGAAGTCGAAGGACAAACAAGTGGAGCTATCAAATTCATTAGTCAAAGTTTTATTGAGACATTATTTTATTCTAATTATAAAAACAAAACTCATTACACTAACTAACCTTTAAGAAACAGGTCTCATAGGGTCATGAACAGTAATATTTTCTTTAACTTAAAGGCTTTGAAACTGTAGTTAAACAAAAGTGAGTCTTACCTGCTTTACTTTACCAGGAGAGGCAAAAGTTTCAAGGACTGCATATGCTCGATATGGGAAGTTGAATGTGTATTTACGGGAGTGGTTACTGGTTAAACTATAACTTGTCCTATCTGTGCCTCGCTGCAGTTTTATTGGGTCATAAAAGCAACAAACATCCGTGTAATTCCTCACACTCATGTTCCTTGTGTTACCTGTTGTGATTAAATCTTCTGTCAGCTTGCATCAACTAAAACCAACAGGCAAACAGAATTCATGACTTGTAAATAATGAATCAGGTTTTAAGGGAAAACTGTCCCACAGAGCAATCATCTACTCTCAGTTTTTCCTGAAAAAGTCAAATGAAAAAGACATTTTATGACAGACTGCAGCTCATTGATAATACATCACTCATTCATCACTGATTTACAATTTGTTCACGGTAATTGGACAGTGCACCTCCGTTACTGTAATGTAGATTTAAAGTATTTAACTATTTAACTTAGCTTACTATAACATTGTAAAATGGTACTTACACTGTAAACACTTGCAAATTACAGTATAATGCTGCAATTTGTTATGTATTATTCGATATGTATTATTTTTATGTCTTTAGACTGAAAAATACTCAGTGTGTTGCCATAAAACCAAAACTAACACAAAATTAATTTTAAAAGCTGACTGAAAACATTAAATTTATGGTGTTACTGCCATGTCAATTTAAACATATTGGAGAAAATACAGACATGTTTAACAGTGAGCCCTTACACCAGGGGTGTGAAACATTAGACTTGGGGGCCAGTAGTGGCCTGGCAAACACTCCAATCTTGCCTGTTGGACGACTTTGGAAAATGTGAAGGAGGACATAAATTTTGAACTTTTAATTGTATTTTTTTTTTCTTTTAACAGATTTACAACTTTTCTTACCAATAAAGACCTGCCCCATAGCCGCAGCCTCATATGACACCAAAATGATGGTTTTGTAATTTTAAACACTTTCACTTTCTTTCATTTACTACAGCTGCATTTCATTGTCATGTAGAAAAACTGAGACATATTGTTGCAATTACGCTTCTTTTTCTTACATTAAGTGAATTCGTTGATTAATTGTGTAGTTACATTTCAATACAGTAGAAGAAAGGGGATTTTTACTGGTTTGGTCCAGACATATACATATAGTAGACTAGATGTTGTCTTATATCCTGCTTT